CCCCAAAACCCCAAAACCCCAAAACCCCAAAACCCCAATTATATCTTTTAGGAATGAAACCAATGAAATGGCCTCTTTGATTTCTTCTGGTAATTGAGAATTTAGAGTAAAAGAATGTAGCTGCCCCCAAGCACTACTAATGAAAGTACTGTTAAGAATTAGTATTTTATGGCCTGATATGATTTTTATCAATTCTTGAGCATAAAGTGATATTTATTAATTAGACCTTGACACTTGGGAGTAAAACTCTAAGCTTTCTTATTTGGTCTGAAGCTCTATTTGGTACGTTAAACGAATGGTGAAGATTGCTAAAAAATATGTAAAATTTTTTGGAAATAAGGATTTGCTCTGGGAGTGTTTCAATTTTTATTTTAGTTTAAATTAACCTCAGCAGAGAAAGTCAAACAAATAAGGAAATGCCTAATCAGAGAGTATACTTAACAAGTAATGTGGCCTCAATAAACAAGAAGGCACCCAGAAAGCAACTAAAGTTACAGTATTAAAGGAAGCATTCAACTATGATCTTCTAGAAGGCTGCTATAGGCTATGAATACAAAACACAACCCTATTCGGGACAAGTGTTTTACATAGGCCAACTTCTTAAGCTACTATGAAGTAGAGTTTCTTCATAAACTTTACAAGAACTCTACTTACAATGCAGTTTGTCATAAAGTAATAAGCTAAAGCAACCCAAAACACATATTGATCTGTATTATTAATAATAACAAGCCTAAAAGTCTAGGCTACGACTACGAAGACAGTTACTATGACTCTTCTTCAGAATAAGATAGCCCTTTTAAAACCTGGCTCCAATGAAGAGAAACTGTAAACTAATAAAGATCAGAATATTTCAAAAATTTTATTAATTTTTAGAAAGATATTAAAAGATTTCTCTCTCACTGGAGTATCTCTTTGAAGTTAGGAAATATCTTCCTGAACCTATCCGAAGAGACCATAGCTTGGAAATGTATATAATCTTTGAGGCTGAAACTTATTATCATTGCCTTGTAAGAATGGTGGGTTAGCAACAATACTAATGATAGCTCAATCTTAATTTAGACTCAAGGGGTTTTGGGGTTTTGGGGTTTTGGGGTTTTGGGGTTTTGGGG